GTTCACACCGCAATATACTCAATGACCGATGAGGAGAGTATGGTAATGTCATCGATGAATATGGTAAAAGCTAGCTCTGAGAGTGGGTGAATGTCACATCACATATGTCTTCTATTTTATTATTATTGGCTGCTTCATTAGTGAACTGTGCATTGTACTAGTGTTATATCATTAGGACCTCATATGACCTCCACTGGCCACTGTAGTCTCTTTATTAGGACAGGACCGCTGCATGGGCCCACACTACCTGTCCTTAATACATGTACAGTGTAGCCTCTTTATTAAGGACACCATTGGGCCCACACTACCTGTCCTTAATACATGTACAGTGTAGCCTCTTTATTAAGGACACCATTGGGCCCACACTACCTGTCCTTAATACATGTACAGTGTAGCCTCTTTATTAAGGACACCATTGGGCCCACACTACCTGTCCTTAATACATGTACAGTGTAGCCTCTTTATTAAGGACACCATTGGACCCACACTACCTGTCCTTAATACAGAGGTGTCCTCATTTCAGAGGTACTTTTGTATAGGCTTGTACCAATTGGAATGTCCTCATTATAAAGGTGTCCTCATTATAAATGTGTCTTGCTTTTACACTATACTTCATTGAGGTGACAGCAGTATTTGAATTTTAAATAAATTGGTTTCTCTTAACAGGACAAGGTAATGGGTAAAAGGTAAGTGTAATCTTGTGAGTGTGTTAGACCATAGTAGAGGTGACTGAGTGTGAATGTGAAACTGCACTCTACTCCAAATAGGAGCCACTTCATAATCAAATAAATGTATTAATAATAATAATAATAAGTAGCATTCTGGTAGTTCACTAATGGCTACCAATCTCTCTTCTGCCTCCCCCTCTTTAAGTTGTCCTCTACTCCTTTTTTCCACTCATGATTAAAGATTTATTTAATGTGTTGCTTTATATACTAATCTCCTTTGATATGCAACTAGCAACATGACATATGATCTCCTCCTGCAGTATACACATTGACAACATTCTTGAATTCAATGATAATAATAATAATAATAACAGTGATCATGATATCATTGTATTATTTGCATGGGCCAGATGGTGCAGCATCAACAAAGCACGGTTAAACTTTTTAAATGATCCATAAATTTTCTGATACATATCCTTATATTATGCCAAGTTTGAGCTGATCCTGACTTTAACTTTTCAAGTTGAAATACTGTACTATAGCCCATGGTTTTTTTTCCAAAAATGGCTCCAAAATCACCCCAGGTATGTGCGAATGGTATTTAGTCTACGCCGGCTGTAGATATGCTTCCTGTCGGTTATTAATTAAATTTCGCTGCTGGCGGCACAGTATAAAACTGGGTGGTTGTCCTCTGTTTTCTGTCACTGGAGGCATTTTCCAATCTATTGGTTAAAAGAATATCACTAGAAATAACTACCTTCGACTCTTCCTGATGGAACTTTCATTTTACTCGCCTGCAAGCATGGAGAGAAGACAGCTAGTCCTTATCCTGTTTCTCATCACTGCCTCTCTCCCCACCTTGACTATCTCTTACTCGCATGGTGTCCCACAGCTAAAATCCCTTTGCAATTTCATAACAGAGCATGGGCCACCAGAAAAAAATATATCTAATTGTGGTGATTTCAAGTTGGTCATGATGAATGCAACACACGAGATCCCATGCTACACTCCAAATGAGTTGACTACAGGTAATATTTCATGAGCCAAAGGTCATTAATTATAATTTATTCTCTTTCTTACAGTTCATATGGTAGTTACTAATGATGACCCACCCTGCAATATTAAGGGTTTTTTTTTGGGCATCCAAAAGAAAGGATTCAACATGAACAAAAGAACCCTTGAAAGTACTAGACATGTCTGTGAAACTAAAAATCTCTGCAAAGATTATGTTACTTTTAGTCACTCGTAAGTTCTTTAGTTCTTTCTCTCTCTTATTTTGCATGTGGGGCTATTGTCAGTGTCAACTGTCAAAATCATCTAGTGCATTATCAGTTTATAATTGAAATGTGTCTTTATTCATTTACAGGGCCCTGCTCAACACCCAGAAAATAGAGTTTAAATTCAACTTCACTTCAAAGGAAAGAGTAGAACTGAGGTAAGAAATATAGACTAGAAATGTCAGCATAAAATCATATCATGGCACTTTAATGATCTCTCTCTCTCTCTTCATTGCAGGTCAACAGTTGTCTTTAGTTATTCAGATGTCATTAATAATAGATCATATTATTTCGATGCCTGTCCAACTCCAACCCCAAGCAGTACACCTTCTCCTTCACCAACTCCCAGCAGTCCCTCATCATCAGTAGCAGCACCATCAGTGACTCCCACACCATCTTCATGTCCTAGTTATACTGCAACACAAATTGGTAAGATATATAGTATAAATCATAAAGAGGCTTTAATGCTTTACTTGTAATATATATCTTAATTGATATAGCTAGGCTGTATATTAGTAGTGTATACTGCAGCATGTGAAGCACTATTGCTGCATGTCTAATGTTATATCACATGTTAATTATCACCTGATGACTTGCACTTGGTTCTTAGTATTCAGTAACTTTATGTTTTCTTCCTCTCTCTCTTTCTATAGATAATTTCAAATGTCCTAAGACAGTAGAGAAATACAAACTGACAATGGATCATGAAGACAATGGAATAAAATATCAATGCACAACCACAGGGACATTGAGACATTTTGTATT